ATCCTTTTATAAAAAGGATAGATACTTTACAATATAACAGGTAAAAAAAATGACAAAACCAGTTTTATTATGACAAAACCGATAAAATGTATCTGATATGTTGAAAGTATAGATACTTTTTGTAAAAAGAATCGATACTTTTTTGAAAGTTATGTAATTTATGTTTCAAAAATTTTTAATAGTGTTTCATGTTTTCCACCTACAATATTAATTTAATAATTTCATTTATACAAAAAATTATTTGATTGTTTTGATATTTTTTAAAATATTATTTAGAATTTAAATTTAACAATATTAACCAAAGATAATAATAAATATGTAATATATATGTTTATTGTTTTTAATTTAATAATAATATATACCGTAACATAAAAAATAAATAAATCATTAGACGCGTATAATTACTAAATTGATATATCTTAAAACTCACTCAAAAGATAACCTTAAATTAATGTTTTCCACAGTGAAATAAGTATGAACACTTTTATTAAAAGGATAGATATTTTACAATATAAGCGCTCTACCTATTACATTATATTTTTACCTATTATATTGTAAAGTATCGATCCTTTTTATCAAAAGGATCAATACTTTCAACATATCAGGTAACATTATGAAAAAAAGGTAAAATTTACCTAATATGTTAATTTACCTATTACATTATAATTATTGGTTTTGATGTTTTTTGGGTTGATACTTGTAGAAAATGTATTGACACATATTTAGGTAGTTATTGTACATACCTAAATATGTACTGCGAATTTAATGTTGTACCCACCCTTTAACTACCACTACCAATACCACATCCTATTTAAAGCAGCACGACTGAAACATGTTCAAAATGAACCTTTGCTTACATCTCCATCAACTCTGGGACCACTGAACTTGCACAACAAAATTTTTGCCATGGATCATACTGATGTAGACAATGTTAAGCCAACCGAGGAATGCTATGAAGTACATAATGTTGATGAATCTGACAGATTGGTTGGTCAGCTCTTCTGTTCACGTGATCAAGCTTGGTACTTTTACAAGGGATTCGCACGGGAACATGGGTTTAGTGCACGTAAGGGAACAACACGGCTTGACGTGGAAGAGAATCTGAAGACACAAGAATTTTGTTGTTCCAAAGAAGGGTTTCGAATATCAAAAGTCAATACTGTTGATCGTCAACGTGCTCATACGCAGCTTTTGTTATCTCCTGTCTTCGTTGATTTTGATTGTGGCTTACGAGATCGTTTAATATTCACGATCGATCCCACTCTCCAACAACCTATATTCAAATTGTCAGAACGTTAAGTATTGTAAACTACAATATTCAATCTACGACTTTTAACAATTTTACCACAAACGAATTTTTCTTTCCACTTACAAAATCACCAGTTGCCCTTGTAGAACCGATCGATTCCAACCACATCATCATATACATACCGCAATCATGTCTGTTACAAAATTTGAAAGCCACACATGTCAATTATGATGAATCCTGCATAAATTAAGCTTTCTATTTATGATAACATCTCATACCCATTCAATTGCTTATTCTTCTTATGCTCCACAAATTTGAAATTTTTCAAGGGAAACTTTCCTAGAGATCCACAGTATTCAACCCAAATGCTTTTCTTATTATAAAAATCTAATATTTTAATTTGCATTAAAAAAGAAGAAGTTATGATCCAAAAAAATTATGCATTATAATTTACATAATGTCCTTTCATACATACATACATACATACCAATCTCTTAGCATCCTTCACTCTCTGTTTAGCTGATTCAGATGTAAACATACTATCATATATTATTGCAACACGATCTACCATATCCAACACCAACAGATACCAATGTGAATTATGGTAGTTTATTGTGATCATGATCTGCAACAAATTTCACACCCAATTTGACAAAATTCAACATTCTATATCCGAAAACATTATTTGCAATTGGTATGGTGTCTTACCTTCTCACAGTCGGTGAATTTTACATAGTTATCCAATATGGGACCCCAGAAGGTAGCAATACTCACAACACTTTCTTTGTTGTTGGCATCCATCGCCTGTTGTTGCAATTATGCAACAAACATTATTAATATACCGTCTATAACACTACTTTTCAACATTTATTAATTTAACTCACCGCTAAGAGGTATGGAAGGTAGCCAATCCTCCGGAGTGACTTTTGAGAATCGTAAGTCGATCCCTTACTCATACCAACGATCCAAAACCTATTTCTCCCAGCACATTCAACTGACCCTTCTCCTTAAGGTGTTTAATTAATGAATTCACCCTTTTAATGATGCATCTTGTCGACACTTCCTACATTTTTTAACAATATATAATGTTATAGTTCTTATATATTTTGTATCAACGTATTTACAAGTTTAATGAATACCTTATTTTCATGTGCTTTCCTCCGTTCTTTGTATTCTTTACTATCATTCCTTGACTGTGTGATGTAAGGTTCATTTTCAGCATCACTCATCGAATTCCATTTGGACCTCACATCTTTTGTCACCTAATATTAAACATAAACGTTTCTTAATCAATACATTAACACTAAATAATACTCAATGTCAATTTCATTTTACATACCGAACCGCTCTGTGTGTCATCTTCCTTCATCCTTTTGCATTCGGCCATACTGTCAACATTTAAAATTTGTAAACAATTTAAAGTTTATCGATACTTTAATCCAATTACCATTTCAACAATAATAACAAAAAGACATTGATACTTACTAGAAGTACATATATCCACCCTTTGGTTGCTTTCGAGTCTCTGCCTCAATTTCAAAGTCATCTGCACCACCAACAATTTTTCAACCCATTAACTCCATTTTTCCTTCATATATCAGTTTACGCAAATCAAATTATTTTGTTACATACACTTTATTCAATATACAAATATAGATAACTACTCTTGTGGTAAAACGGTTTTCTTCAAAAGAATTTGAATGGCCACTACAAAATGTGTCGGCACATTTATACAACCTATAATATCATTTTCTACCTATAATATTTAATAAAAGTATCGACATTTATATTTTACCTTGAATATCACTTTCTACCTGCAATCGGTCTCAAATGCTTCTTTACTCCAAAACCCCAAACAACACATAAAAACCTTATTCGCGATTACTGTAATAATAAAAAACTAGGGTTTCGACAACATACTTTTCGATTCGACTGCATCAACAAACAAACAAACTTCGCTTTAGAAACACCTTCTGAAATGCAACAACAATTACGCTTCGATTTCAAAAACTCGTCCGTTCTATCTATTTTCAGAGGATATTTAGCTATGGCCTTTATATTTTCATCGGATATGTTATTTATATTTAATCGATACAAATACAAAAGTGTCGATACTTTTATGTCAGGTGTCGATACTTTCGAAAGGATAATTACGTATTTCTTTGAAAGTATCAATAATTTATTACACGTACTTACGAAAGTATCGACACTTTCAATATATCCGGTAGCGTTTTACCGGTTTTATCATTTTAATACCGGTTTTATCATATTTTTACCAGTTATATCGTTGTGGATCGATATATTTTTTTAAAGTATTGACACTTTATAGGCGCTAAAACTGATTCTCTTTTAAATTCAAAAAGTGTCGATCCTTATATAAAGTATCGACACTTTCAATATATCCGGTAACGTTTTACCGGTTTCATCATTTTGGTACCGATTTTATCATATTTTTACATGTTATATCGTTGTGGATCGATACATTTTTTTAAAGTATCGACACTTTATAGGCGCTAAAACTGCTTCTCTTTTAAATTCACAAAGTGTCAATCCTTATATAAAGTATCAACACATATCCGGTAGTGTTTTACCGGTTTCATCATTTTGATACCGGTTTTATCATATTTTTACCTGTTATATCGTTGTGGATCGATTCATTTTTTAAAGTATCGATACTTTATAGGCGCTAAAACTGATTCTCTTTTAAATTAACGAAGTGTCGATCCTTATATTAAAGTACCGACACTTTAAATATATCCGGTACCGCTTTACCGGTTTTATCATTTCAATATCTGTTTTGTCATAGTTTTAGCTGTTATATCGTTATGGATCGATACATTTTTAATTTAGATCGACACGAACCGACAAGTTAAGTTTGCCGATTGCATAATTTTTTAATATTTCTTCATGACTTAGACCTACTATATTATTATTAGTCAACATTTCCGATAACGCTAAACCGAAATTATTAAATATCTTTTAATATATATGATAAGATCATATATTAACCGTATATTAATCTACATTTCCTGAGACATTCCCCTCAATATAGTGCGTATGGAGAGAAAACGCGTGGAAACTCTTGGAACAAAAGGAAAAGTAAAACTTTCCACTTCGCAGTATTTGGTTCAAACAACACCAACAAAGCTTCAGAATATAGCCTATGCTAAAGACTCATCTCCTACTCGCCTTTCGCTCGCGTGGGAGACAAACTTTCTAACCTCATGGCAATGTACCCGCAAAAATATGACTAATTTTGTATAAAGAATGTCATCACTCCAACAAAATATAAAATAAACAAAGAATCTACTCATCACTCCATTAATTTCATTTTTACACTATATTTTTAAATTCATTTTTAATTTCTCTTATAAGAACCCATCAAATCAAATAATTTTAATAATTAAAAGAAATATTATTTTTCTTGTAAGTTTTAGATGGAAGAATTACCTCCACAAAATATATACATTATTGATTGATAAAAATTATTAACATATATTAAATCAACCTAAACTATTAAAAAATTTCTTATAAAATACACACCTACTATATATATATATATATACAACAATTTAAACCCCATAATAGTACAATAAAAAGTTCAGTGATTTTTTTTTTTAAAAGTATACTCATCAAGCTATTGATGTTTATCATATCAAACCCATATCTTGTCCATCTTCTATATTTTTATACAATAATGATATTGGTATTGTTTAGTTTTCTAAAACCGGCTTCTAAGGCACAAGCTCAGGTGTTTTGACATTGCTTCCTAAATCAGTCGAGGAACTTCATTTTATTATTATTTTTATTAGTATTCTATGATGAGACCTCCCATTGGAGCTCGGTGAGGAATTCCCTTCCTCCGCTTCACCGTCCTATAATTCAAAGCGATTGGCGGTGGCGTCGATGGCCTGAAGCTTTGTACTTTGCTCTTCTGGCTTCCGTTACTAACATCGTTCAATGATTCGGCATCGAACCCATCTGTTTCCTTCAACATTCTCTTCTTTCTAATGAAGTTCTTTGATGTCCCAACAATCTGAAAGGTTTTAATCACGACAACGGAAAAAATTATCAAGCACGTTTATAACACCACTATGGTGATAATGCAATAACAATTTCAAATAGCACCGTTATCATTATAAAACGACAACTGTTCCGATAGTATATAGTTATTTCAATTGCTTACCTTGCAACCAAGAGAACAGAAGGTGAAGGAATCAAGGAGGCTCCGGTGGCAGACTTGGCAGGTATTGGTGACACCTTTGCCGGGCCTAGGCTGAGGCCTTTGGTTCAAGAACACAATCCTGGCACTGTTGATAATGTAGGTCTGAATCCCTGTTATGTCCACGAATTTCTGAATCTCTGAAACCCTTATCACATCATGGTATGATGATCTCCTTATCTGCAAGGACAATAAACCCATCGACGATTACGATAGCGGTGATGACCGTAATAATGTCTGCTGTTATCGCAATCGCAATAAACATGATCACAATCCAAATCATAATTTAAATCTTTAATCCAACACAAATGAATTTTGTAATTTAATTTACTTCATTTGTAATTTAGTTTACCTGAATAGCTCTATGATCTTTGTGATGAGCAAGGCAAAGAGAACAAAGAGCACCGTTCATGCAATCCAAGCAATACATATTGCATTCACTCTTGTGAGCATCGGCATGGAGTTTGCATTGGACGAAAAAGCTTGTTTGAAGCAGTGGTTCCAGCCATGGCGGCCACTTCACTTCCTCTTTATCAAAATCATCATCATAATCTGGACCACCTCCTCCCTATGATAAAATCCCATAAAAAGAAAAACAAATCATCAGCATCGCGTGATAATTGAGGACGATTCATCTATGATTCAGCAAGGTGATTTGGAGGTCTAACCATGATTCTTCTGCTTTTTGGTTTGATTTCTCTAACTTGATCAATATGGATCATTTGAAGGGGATAAAGAAACTTTCTTGGAAAATTTTTCTTTTTCTCGAGAAAAAAAAGGGTGAGAAGAAAGAAAACAAGTGGAGTTACTTTGTAGTGGTGAGTGGTGGATGGGTGCTTATCTTTGGCTTAAAAGTCTTCAACCGAACCTCAATCCGAACCTAACCCAAAAACCTAAATAAAAACATTAGATGCGTCTGTTTCAAGAAACTTCTTCACCTTCTTAATTAAATTCCGTTTTATTTCATTTTCTGGATTTAAAATGAAATAATTTTTTCCAGGAAAAAAAAAGGTAATGTATTTTCACTTGGACAAAATAGGTAGAGAGGGAACCTTGAAACCTGGCTCGTTAAGATCTTGACACGTGGCAAGAGTAATGAATCAGCTAGAGTACAAGGTGGGAGGTGAAAAGGCCATGGGTTGAATACAATGTACAGAGCCGATTTAAAAATATTTTTTAAAATATAATACATAATTTTTATATATAAGAAGCATGAATAAAATTTTAAGATAAATATAATTAATAAAATAAATAATCAATTAAAAAGTTAAAATTTTAAAACAAATACGTGGTTTATGTGTCTTAATCTTAATTTTGCATGGTGTAGTAAAAGTTAGGGCTTTGGAATTTGCCACCTCAAATAAAAACAAATACTTCAGCTTTAGAATGCACTTGAACATGATGAGTTGTTTGTGCATGCAATAATAGTTTTTTAAATGATAATATTCATAAATATAAATGTATTGAATCACTATAAGAATAAAAAATATTATTATTTTAGATATTTAAATTCAAATAATTATATCTATAAAATCTATATATGGATAGGGATGACAAAAAAACTCGAACCCGACGGAGAAAATCGAAAATCGAATTAAACGGAGACAGGAAAAACCGTTTATACTAAACGGGGACGGAACGGGAAAAAATTGTTTATGTTAAACGGGGACGGGGACGGGGACGGGGACGGGTTTAGTAATCCCCGCCCCGATTACCTAATTACCCGGCCCGATAAATATTAAAAATAATTATTATATATATATATAATATTAATAAATTTAATTTAATTTAAATTAAAAAATATATAATATATATATATATATATTTAATTTAAATATATATACCCGGCCCGATACTCGTTTAAATAATCGTTTATGCTAAACGGGATACCCGTTTCCCCGCGGTTTTCCCCGATTATCCGATGGAGATCCTCGTTTAAATCCCACGGTTTTTTAAGCGGGGATGAGTACGAGTTTTTTAAATGGAGACGGAGACGGAGACGGAGACCAATATCCGGCCCGAACCCGGTCCGTTGCCATCCCTATATATGGATGAGTTCACAACACATATCATATATCATAACATACATTTAAAGCAACACACCGAAATATACCACAAATAAAATTATCTTTATTATGTAAATATTAAAGAGTATAATAATTTATTTAAAATTAACAATTTAAATTTAATTTTAATAAGATTATAATTAAATTATTAGTATTTTATTAAAAATATTAATTAATTTAAGAAGTTTAATTTATATAGAATTAAAAGATCTTACATTAAAAATATATATCTAACTTTTATATACGTTCTGGCTTCATCTAAAATTAACCAATATCCACCGTCAGTCCACTACCACCGGCCACCACCTCCGTCCACCACAGCGTTTCGCCGGAAAACCATTTTATACAATATTCAGTACTGTTGGAGAGTCATAACAAGAGAAAACAGCCTTGCTCCACCCAACGTCACCCGGATCGTCTTCGCCAGAACCGACGATCGCGAACGATACTATTTTCGTTAACATTGCCGGACGGCCGGTAATTTTCTCTTGTTTAAACCCGTGTAGAAGGTCGGAGAACCATCCACGACCGTTTTCCATCCCATCCGAACCGCCTTCGACTACCGCTTCTCGTTCATCGGGAGTCTCAGCTTGAAGCATCTTGTTCGTCGGCCTTGAGTAAAAACCCAGATCTGGTTTGTGATATAATAAGTTTGGTCAAATTCTGTTCTAAGTCCCTTATTTTTGTTTTATTTCGTATGGCCAAATTGCATGCACCCCATATTTCCCCTGATTTTAGTTTGGACTTGAACGTACGTTTATTATATTCATGGCTAAATTACATGAAAGCCACCATATTTCTATTTTAAACTAAATGGTCAAATTGTATGCAAACCCCTATACTTTTCCATTTTTAGATTTTAGATTTCTAAGTTTATTTCCTCAAAGATTCTGACTTATTTTGATTTTGATAACTAATCTCAGATTTATTATTTAATTTTAATTAACAATAATATTAAAATTTTATTTTATTCACTATTTTTATTAGTATTCATTTCATATCATTTGATATTAATGGTTATTTTTAATCTTGACAAAGTAATTCTTCATTTTAACTTGATATTAATTGTGATTATTTGAATCTTGAAATTTTGGACTAACCATTAATTTTTATTGGTATTAATTTTAATTTTTAATTGATATTAATTGTGATAATTTATCTTGATAATATTAATTTTGATACGTAACTTTTACTTGCTATTAATATTGATAATTAATCTTGACTTAATATAAAGTTGTGTCATTAATCTTAATCTGCAGCATGTTAACGATTATGGATGATCAAGAAAAAATTGAGAACAAAGAGATGGAAAATTGTAATCTCAATGAAGATAACAAAATAGATGACTCGAATAGTGAAACTTATATTGAAGAAGCACAACTTGAAGATAATTGTAGATCTTATATTTTGATATAATAAATAAGGGCAAAATGTTTTTTGGACTAAATTGAATTTATTCAAAGTTTTCATAAAAAAATTTGAAGTCAATTCAAAACCTTAAAATGAGTATTTTGACCAGAAGTGTAACACCCCAACCCGTACCCGACCCGAATATGAGTCTGAGATGTCATATTGACATTTCAATAACTTTATTCTTGCAAAATATCAAAACATTTGAACTCATTTTAAGAAAATACATCAATATTCTATTAAAATATGTTTCAGTATAAAAATTAAAGTCAAAAACATATTTATAAATAGTAAAATACGGTATGAACAGTACCGCAAACAATACCCTGCTACATTACTTTCGTAAAATACGTATCAATTCTTAAAATTTAAGACGTTCATCGTTATACATTTACCATTTACATATATAAGTTTAAAACATTCCAAAACTCGATCAGAGCGTATCCAATACAAATCTTTTATTTATTACATGCCAACTAAATTCTTCCTAACAAAATACATGTAATTCGATTTATATTTCTGATCTGATTTTCGGTAAGGAGAACTGACCTGTCTTGTTTCTCTTTACTTCTCTTTTCGCTTTCCAAACCTACGTGTGAAACAATCACACGCTAAGTCGATGACTTAGTGAGGCATATAAAACATTTAATAAAACCATAAAACATTTCATAAAGAAATACACCTAACATCATATAATTCATATCAAATGCATGCATGAACATTTATTACAATCATATCATATAAAATCATATATCATTTCTGTAACATATACCCACATACACATATATCATTATCAACACATTTAACATTTCATATTCATTATCATTAATTCCTTTTTATCATATAAGCATATGTTGGACATTTCAATATACATTATGGAACAAATATATCATCATATAATTCATGTAACACATTTCGTATCATCAAAACATATACTTCTTATATATATTGTATTTGATATTATCTCTTTATTAGCCCATGGTAAACTGGTGAAAACGGAAGGTATGTGAGCACATTGAGGTTGTGCACTAATGCTGTCACCACATCTCATATAAGTCCCACTGAGTGGCATATGAAATTTGTCCCGAAAGACCACTGTATTGTCCCGAATGACCACAGTATTGTCTCGAAGGACCTATTAAACCCTCGACTCTTGGCATGCCAACTATACCTATAGCTCTCGTATCATATAACATGGGCATTATTATTTATCATTTCATATCACTTGTTCTTTCTCTTCTGTCACATACCACATGTATGTGTAATCATATATCTCATATCATATCACATGTAACATATATCTCATGTGCATGTAATCATATAAATCGTATCATATAATATAACTTATATTATTTCTATTTTAATTTAAATGGTCAAATTGTATGCAAACCCCTATACTTTTCCATTTTTAGATTTTAGATTTCTAAGTTTATTTCCCCAAAGATTCTGACTTATTTTGATTTTGATAACTAATCTCAGATTTATTATTTAATTTTAATTAACAATAATATTAAAATTTTATTTTATTCACTATTTTTTATTAGTATTCATTTCATATCATTTGATATTAATGGTTATTTTTAATCTTGACAAAGTAATTCTTCATTTTAACTTGATATTAATTGTGATTATTTGAATCTTGAAATTTTGGACTAACCATTAATTTTTATTGGTATTAATTTTAATTTTTAATTGATATTAATTGTGATAATTTATCTTGATAATATTAATTTTGATACGTAACTTTTACTTGCTATTAATATTCATAATTAATCTTGACTTAATATAAAGTTGTGTTATTAATCTTAATCTGCAGCATATTAATGATTATGGATGATCAAGAAAAAATTGAGAACAAAGAGATGGAAATTTGTAATCTCAATGAAGATAACAAAATAGATGACTCGAATAGTGAAACTTATATTGAAGAAGCACAACTTGAAGATAATTGTAGATCTTATATTTTGATATAATAAATAAGGGCAAAATGTTTTTTGGACTAAATTGAATTTATTCAAAGTTTTCATAAAAAATTTGAAGTCAATTCAAAACCTTAAATGAGTATTTTGACCAGAAGTGTAACACCCCAACCCGTACCCCGACCCGAATATAGTCTGAGATGTCATATTGACATTTCATTAACTTTATTCTTGCAAAATATCAAACATTTGAACTCATTTTAAGAAAACATCAATATTCTATTAAAATATGTTTCAGTATAAAAATTAAAGTCAAAAACATATTTATAAATAGTAAAATACGGTATGAACAGTACCGTAAACAGTACCCTGCTACATTACTTTCGTAAAATACGTATCAATTCTTAAAATTTAAGACGTTCATCGTTATACATTTACCATTTACATATATAAGTTTAAAACATTCCAAAACTCGATCAGAGCGTATCCAATATAAATCTTTT